CTTTTTACAGTTGACATTATAAACTGATCTGAGTTATAAAACCATCGAAAAGCAGGAGAAAGGAGACTCTTGTTCATCCAAATACAGGACTCATCAACATTGACCACCCAAGATTACATAAGGTAATGAACCTATGACGGTCAAGCTCGTAGCCAGTACCTAACATTAAGACCATTAATTTCGTAATTCATTATTTAAATTTCTAAACTCATTAAATTTGCACTATTACGAAGCCGTTTCTCATTGCATTTGGTGGATAACTGCTGTACAATAGACAGGATTGAACTCCATCAGTCACAGGTGCTTATCAGAATTCCGGAAATTTCTTTTCTTTAAAGTTGGTCGCTAGTGTGGAGAGCAGTGGCTTAATCGATTGGAGTACGAAAGATATATGAAATTGATTTTTATCCACATCTCAAGCAGGATTATAAATGTTTAATTGTATAGTATTGTAACCATGTGTTCACACAGTAAGTTACTGAATTACTATTGTTAACTATAAGTCAATTCAATTTTTACAAATCTGACTGTTAATCTACCTATAAATAAATCACATAAGCAGCGATGTATTCGTAAACCATCTTTTTAATTCATTTTGAAAGTCAAATAAATATCACTAGTCTTTGACTTTTGCACTCCGCACTTTTTCTCTTGTGTTCAAGTTGTTGTGTAGATTTAATCCTCAGTTATTAAAAACAAGTAGGAAATCAGATCAAGAGTTCGATTAGTAGACTTAATACAGTACATGATCATTATTAGTGTGAGTTTATTGAGTTTTATATTTAACATCACGAACATTTGATATTTTTAAATAAAACGAAATTTCACACTATCTGAAGTTTGTGCTGATGATGTCGTTCAGAAGAACAATGAAAGTACCACGACCAAACCATCCAGCTCAGAGAACAAAACTCCATCAAAACATAGGTATTCACTTTGAACGGTAGTATTCTTATGGCTGATATAATTAGTAATTAAACTCACTTAGTGAGAAGATATAAAATTTACTAATAACGCAACCGTAAAGTATTTTTCAGGTTACATTCGAAAGTATCTTGTCATACACAACACATTTAGTTGATTTTCATATACTTATATCGATTTGTTGTTTGTATAGAAGAAATTAGACATATGATTGTATAATAATATGAAGCGAAAAGTTGTAGCAAAACACGAACAGCTAAAAATCAATTGAATTTCGCATATGATTATCTTAAAAACAAAAACAGTTACTAAGTATATAAGAACTTTCATCTAAATTTGATCGAACGGTTTCACAGTATTTGGGCGCCAAGTTGATGCGAGACATTAAAAAGGAAGAATGTATTTGTAAAATCTCAGCGAAAGAATTTGAAGTAAATCCAACGTTAATTGGATGACCTTGTAGTGACCTACTTTTATCAAGAGAACGCGATTGGTTTAATGGAAACAATTATTATTATAACCAATTGTACCAGTGATTGTTTTGCTGTACTTGTTTGTTTAAATTTACTAAAACCATGCCTTCCTTCCGTTGATTGTGGCCTTGCACGGACTTACGTTTGCTCAGTGATTACGCTTGTACTCCTTGAACACGATCTCGGTATTATTTCGATACCACGAGATCGTCAACAAATATATCACGCTACAACCTTCAACCGCCTTCTGATATTTGAATATAAGAATACACATAATTATAATTTATTTAACAAATAAAGTATTGGATGATATAGAAACTACTGGCAAATTTAACCTCCAATAGAAATTAGTGCTAATCTGGTTTATTTCTTACCGCTTGATATCAAAGTAGTCAACTATAGAATTATTCCGGAGGATTTCTAAAGTGTCAAATCACCTTACTTATCACTCTTGAAATGTGTCAGTACGATGTTTTATACAACATTCTAGTATATCATACATAGTGATAAATAAATTTATTTAACATTTATATTTTACAAAGTATTTGTTAGATCTACTACTTACAATGTAAATTCTGTTTAATATTACAAAGAATCACCCAGTTTTATTTTAGTATTTATTATCGGCTTACTCGACAGTCTGAATTATTTAAACGAATAAGATGTATAATAGAAATAACATGAGATTCAGTTAATGGTTCTCTTTTTAATGAATTTGTTTTAATTATAAGATAATCCACAATAGAAAAGGTTAGTAAAGGCATTAAAAGATAAACTGAAATCATTTACATAAGCTAGATGTAACGGTAGTGTATTGGATATTCTTTTCATCTTTAATGAATAGTCCATTTCAATTGACTAAAAGTGTTCCATTCAATCTTGTAAATGGATTTACTTTATATTGGATAGTATTCTATAGGTGCTCAAATAATTTTAATAAAGTACTATACTGTATATTAAATGAAATGTTGATAGTTTATTAACCAAAGTTTATCTTATGACGATCGTATAAAAACATTATTATCAGTTAGCCAGATAATAATGGAACTAACGAGCGCTTCTGATATAACCAGAGAATAAGAATATTTTCTGCTGCCATAATATACTACTACTATACAACAATAAGACCAGCGATAAAGATGATATCACTACTAAACTGGATACTCTATTGATAGGCTACACAAGGACTGGATCACGTTTTCAAAAGAGAGACAACCAACAATAAGGAAATAGGGTAGACTATATTTTTTTTGACACAATTACAAACAGTCCACTCTATGCGTAGTAAGTCCGAAGTAGAAACCAATATGAAGATCACATTTTAAGCAGCCAGTACCTGTCTATCCACACTCAGTGGCCAATCACATCCTAGTTTCACCAACTACATCGTTTTCATTTCGTTTACGACAGATTGGGATCACTAGTATTTTAAACTGATGAATTATTTCTACCAAACCATTCAAATCAAAGAAAGTTCTAGTAAACGTCATCTCTGTAATTTTGGTTAGCCGCTGTATGAAAGCGTTTATACAACTTTTTCCGCTTATAAACTGAAATAAAGAAAGAACAAATATCGCAACTTAAATCCAAAGTATATTATTCAGTAAAACGAAACAAATTTACATACGACGTCAGGAACGTATTGAATGAACTGAGTTAAAGTGTGGAGATGGAATAAAACAAAGAGACCATGATACAGAATAAAATTATTTGCTCATTGAAAGGTTAAACATATGAATATTCTAGGAGAGTAAGAAAACAAAAATATTTCTCTTCTCGAAACAGAAGGTAGACTACACAATACAGACTAGTTGAGTAAAGCTCAGAAGTGTGAAGATATTAGTTTTGATTACAGTTCATGGAAAAAAAACCTCGCGTAATAATCTCACAAAAATTAGGTCACCAGGATAAGACAAGATTTATAACTGCCCTTCTGGACACGTGGATTCGGCTTAAATCATTTTGTTGCAACAGCTTTGGCAAAGCTTATATACTTTAAATTCATTATCCGAACTGTCGAGCAAATGACCAACAAAAAAGTGAACGTCGGGACAATTTTAGCTCTTCTGTATTATGGTCTCTTTGCTTTATTCTATTTCCACACTTTAACTCAGTTCATTTCACGTTTCTGACGTCAAGTATGTGGAGTTATTTCGTCTTACTGATTGATGAGGTTGCGAATCTTCATCGACTGAGATGGTTAGGCCACGTGTTACGTATGCCTGAACACTGATTACCACGACGTGCAATGCTAACCGGTGTTGGGAGAAAGTTAGCGGCGACCAAACCAAAACGTGGCATCAGTGCTTGAAGTCACTAACTTCTAGTCTGAGCCATGTTGGTAGATGCAGACTATTTAGTTGGGGTCCGCGTGACTACCGTAACCAATGGTTGGAGACTGAGTGAAAATGGAGTCGGTGTTTGCACTCTGTCTTCTACTAAACTAAGAGATCAAAACCGCTTCATATTTTTCTTTCTATGTACTAAATCTTTCTTCCTGTAAAATATCCTTATTGCAATCTTTCTTTTATATATTACCGCCTCTGAATTAACTACTTTTATGAATTCAGTGTCCATCTTGTTGTGTTAATGAGGTATGACAACTTGGACCGATGTATATATGTGCCTGGTCCTACGTTGTAGCTGAATGATACTTCGGTTTCGGGTTGTAAGTAGATGGAGAACCCATGTTATTCTGCTGCGATATTTCTTCTTGCTTTATTCCTAAGTGTTTAGCGACTACCTGGATCGCCTTCCAAATCTAGATTATGCTGGACCAGTAAACTAAAGATACAATATGACCTACGGCTGATTTGGAGACACTATAACCTAATGGGGCGAGATGCAGCCCCAACGCACTTAAAACCGAACAAGACCAGTCTAAAACAAAATGTAACCGAGCTTTATACATGAATGACCATCCAGCTTTACAACACACGGAAATTTGATTTTTTTTAAATTGTTGCCGAGCCTATGTTCGTTATTTGGTAGTAAAGTTTAAATGGTCAAACTGACTAAATGAACAGAACCGGGAGTTCGTAGAGTAGGGTTAGTTTGAATAAAGGCATGGTAGCTGACGTCGAATCTAACTCAGTAGCTGTAACCAAACAGACTATATCACTCAGGATATCCCATTACACTAGGCTGGTGTTCCCGTCGTACTATGCGTATACATATGACTTGACAGTAGTAGAAGCTGCATGCTCAACCTGATCAGGTTACGATCGAGGCTTTCACCTGTTAATTGACAAGATAAATCCACTACTGTGACATCATGTCTAGGTCTAGATTGGATTTTAAATGTTTCTATTGTCAAAAACTGACGTAAACGTACTACCAATCGTTCAATGGCCATTAGTCGCCATGGGCCGCTTAAGTGCAATGACGCAACTCTACTCATTAAATTTACATCCAATCAAATGAAGACAGTTTGCTTAATATTAGTTGTATTCAGGACATATACTTAGAAGCCCTATAAGACGAATAGACGTCGCCCAGTCTCACTTTCACAAAACATAGTAAAATCCAAAGCGGAATTTCTCCTACAGATAGTCGACCGAGGACTCAACGTCAACAATTTGAACATTCTATACGAGTATTCGTTAATATTAGGAAGAATATTTCGGTGAAAATTGGGCGCCAAGTGTAGAGAAGACATTACTTGTAAAAATTATATTTGAAATAATCTCACCGATTGAAATTTAAACAACCCCAAGGACTCATCCAGCAGACTTCTTCAGGGTTTGCTGGACGAAACGTTCGAATTATTTAAATTGCTGAGATTAATTCAAATATAATTTCCCACTAATAAGTTTGAATATTCGTAGTAAACGGCCATATAACCCAGAGAACGTTACGACATAGCGAACCAAGTACTCGAATGACATAAAGGAGGAAGTTAGTGGCAGAACTACTTTACGAATAAACCAGTATTGACCAAACGTATATATCCAACATATCAGAGGGCGGAAATGGGATACATCTAGACAATTGTCCCGAATGAAGTGCTCTGGCTAAAAGAGAACACTGAGACCATCAGGAGACTTCAAGCGGGGAACGTTCAAAAACTCTTCGGGGCACTGCATTAAAGTCTAGAAAATTCTCTAGACTTTTTGTCCTACCATTCATATTCATGCCAATGAGGAGTGAGAAGCCGCTCGGTAACGCTTTATAATACAGAACCCACTTAGAAAGTCATAACAAAAGTCAAACAATGAAGAATTGGACAAAATGCTGAATGAAACATTATAAGATTTCAAAGAAATAAGTCATATCTCCCATCAATCTAAGTCCATATTTTGTTCATCATCAGCACCCTTTTTGGAATGATTTGTCCCGGGGTTAGAATTTGTGTTTGGATTATTCACATCGTTGGACTGTCCAGAATTTTGAGAGTTAAGGTCTGGAGTATTATTTGTGTGAGACGCCGTTGGAGGCTTTGGAGTATTGATAATTGGATGACACACTGATTCCATGGCCTAAAAGATAAATGAGAAAAACTGGGTTTAAATGGTAAAAATATTAAAAGTAATTCTGTTAACAGTAGAACTATAATTTAATTACGATGTTACACACTCTGAACAATGGCTAACTCGTTACGTGAGTTATATGACGTAAGTAGCTGTTACCTGCTTTTGTAAACTATGAAAACCAATCTTCCAATTCTGTTGTTATTAAAGTTACTTTCTGTCCTCTTCAATTGAATCTTCTTAATCTTTCGCTCGTATGCCTTCCACTTCCGATTGGTGCTACATACGACATAAGTAGCATATACCACAGTGCTATTGGTTGTACGGACAATAGGGCATTTTTGGAGGATAGTGTCAGTTAAAACATGAGTACCTTGTCCAACCTCCGATTCACCTTAGTTTTAATAATCAGATAGGTGCACAAAATGGTATAAATTCAAGAATATAAACCTGAACTTAGTAACTAAGCAAAATCCATGTTCCAAGGTCGAAAAAATGTTAACACTAAACCAGTTCCTTAAAGAGGTATCCTTCAGCGGGATAAAGAAATTAGAAGTATGGATTACCCATAAACTTGCAGAAACATTTGATTTTTTATTGTTTATCAACTACTCATTTCGAACCAGATTTATAAGGTTTAGTCTTTTCTCTTATCGTTGTTATTACATTATGAAGATCTATTTCGTTATTTTTTATCTCGTCATGTTAATTCAATATGACTTGTTTCAAAGCACATTTGTGTCATGCTCTAGGCTAATAACTCCTTTCTGTCTGAATCTTCATCTTTCTTCATATAAGTCAGTCGCAACGTAGAACCTAGTACGTATGTACATCAGTTCAAGTTACCATATCCGATTAGCACAGAGAGAAATGAAATTGTTATGAAAAATCTAAGAGTTGTAGATTTAGTAACAGTATTAGTGGTAATATAAAAGATTAAGTATCACAGATACGATCCACGAAAATATGAATTAGTGAGATAAATTTCATGGAAATCAGAAGCCTAGAGTCTAGGAAGAAACAATGAATGGATGTGCCTGCGTCATTGTAAACGATTTCGACTCATGTGATTCAGTCTAATCGCTGGTTACGATAAGCACGTGGACCCCGATGAAGTAGTTTACAACTATTAACATGGCTTAGTCTAATTGTCAATGATTCCATGGACTGACGTCATATTTTGGGTTGGCCAACCCTAGATTTTTTCTAGCCTACTCCTATGCCAAACGGCGTCGCTCGTCGGGGTGGGTATTGGTTGGATATACGTAACATATGTCCCAATAAATCAGCTGGTAAAGACTTACTACTTCGACAACCGACTTGCCATCTCTATCCAGTAATCAGGCATTGCTGACTCGGTGGTCCCAAAATACATATAAAGTAGGACGGAGAGAAATTTTGCACCGTCAGCTCGCCTTTTGGTTAGCAAGCGGATATTTCGCCTACGCCAGAGGTGACGCGCTTCAGACCATATACCGGATATTGCGACACTCAAATAATGTGTTGAATCGGAAAACATAAACTAGTAGTGAAAACTCTGGAGTTCTATTCCAGTGGGCCTTAAGAGAAACCTAAATGGTATTAAAGGTTGCTAGATTTTTTCCTTGCCTTAATAATGTTAAGTTTGGTGTATTGAAAGAATACACATTTGAATTAATTAAAAATTGATCACTACGTTATAATAAATATTTAACCATCTCGCGAAACAATAATTTGCTAGAACCTGTTGATTTATAATTTTATCCTAGACGTTGCATGCATCTAGGGATCTTTGTCTACTACGGACTTAATGAATTTCAACAGACTGATAGTGAAACGCTATTCTGAAAAAGAATCAAAACTAGTAGATGATACCGCAATGAATCCTTACAATAATATTAACATGTTTATTCGAGACATGGAATATTTCAACCCTCACAAAAACCGAATGATATATATATATATATATATATATATATATATATATAATTTGGTGTCTCCTTGTACCAATATTTGTGTCTAAATAAATAAATAACCTGGAAAAATTAGGAAATTGCATACTACTTACTTGCTGTTGAGATACGATATCTGTAACTTTAACTACAGGATCTGAAGTTTGTGGTCTAGGATTTTGTTGCATCATTTGCTGGTTCAACCAGGTCTCATACTGTACTATCATATCTTCCAGCTGATTAACCTGCGCCTGTGTTAAGTGGTCATAAGTTGGTTCTCCAGCTGCAATACTGTCTAGCACTTTCCTTATACGCTGTACAACAAAGAAAGTCAAACATCGGAAAATTTTCCAACTGAGACAACCAAAAGAACAGATTTCAAATACTATACAGTTACAAGTATATCATACTTTTGCTAACACTTAAGTATGTTGACTATGATGGAAACAGATAAACAATGTGTGGTTTTGGTAAAGACCAGGAAGGATTTTCATAACTATGTACCGTTATAAGATTAAATATATTTCTTACATTTTGAATAAATACTGAGTGGAATAAGATTTTCATTAAGACGTTGGATTTTATCACGACAAAAAATGTACCGTCAAGTACTTTGTAGGTTAGTGAGCTAGCCATAATGTTTAGCTTAGTCTGCGAAATATGGTTACCATGGTCTACCTTAGTAGATTTCGAAAATCTTTTTGATGCCACTTGTTTGAATTAACAGAACCAATGATACCATTTGCATGAAAGAACTTAGATTTAATACAGTTAAATAAAAATACATTATAAAAGTGATTTTATAGACTTGAGCACCTACAGCTATCACAAGCTGAAATAAAGTCCTAGGATTCTAGAGTTTTAATTAGGTTGCTGTGTTACAATCTATTTCGTCATATACGATTTTGAGAACCTGTTTGGACAATACAAAGTTCTACAGCGATTATCAAGTCGAACATTAGTTTTCGGTAAACAACCTATTAACTTACTTCCTTTATAATCAAGCTGACTGATATCATGTGTCATTAGTTAAAAAGCAAATAATATTTGTTACGATTTTTAGCTGAACGATTCCTTTGAATATAGATGAAAAAGTACTTCACACGCTATTTTGGCGGAAGTGACGAAAGCAAACTCAAATCACCAGAAAGAGATTGAGCGACAAAATACCAACAGCAGTGATAATCTTGGTCGTTTACTTTTACCAAAATACGGACTCGTATAAGATAAATTTGGCATTTATCCTTAACCATCTTGGGATATACTCGACCGTAGCTGCTACATTACGTGGTGGTCGGGCTTGTCTATTGTGATGACCAACCCGAGCTACATTGGCTGGAACATATGTTCCTGTAGGTTCTACCATACCAAGTATGTCGATTAGAGAAAGGTAAGACTAAAAGAAGCAACTCAAGGTCTGGGGGCGAAGTCGTACTGTTGACTGTAGAGAAGTGTGACAGCAGTAAGGTGTTTCCCTTGAACAACTAGCATCTGCAGCGATGCTGCCTTCTCACAAGGAAGGGTAGGGTTTAAAAAGTTCGACCCTAAAAATTTCCCAACTCACGGATCTCCGTCTCCGGTGATAAGGCCCTTTAAAGAACGGAGATAACACGTTTGAAACCTCCCATAAAAAGGCCGCGAGCGGCCGACCTCAAGCAACTGTCCCTTGGGCTCTGCGGTCACGCTCCCAGGTTGTTAAGACCAACATTAATTCACCTTTTTTTCCAGGCCCCTCAAAAAATACCCTTCCACGGTGTGGGTAGCCGGGAAGTGATATCAGCCCTCATACCTGTAACAGCACACGAGACCAAGTTGGTCACATTCAGATCTTTCCTACACCTCCTAATAACTCTCTTATCTCCACGACTAACCCTTCTCATGTCCCTTTATCACCTCGCACTGTTATATCCGAGTGAAGATTAAATTACGGGTAACTTCTGAGGACTATTAATGGAATAGTATTCTATAAATACTCTTATTGTATAACTACTCAATAATTACATTATGTATATTTATATCCCCCTTATTATAAGCTTTATTTTGACCTATAATTTATTATTGTACGATTTACGGTTCTTAAGCTATGTTCATTTTATTGACTACTGCCTCCCACATTCACAGCCACTTTTTGGCTTTATTGTGTACACACGTTATTTTCTATTTTATGGTACGTTGTGATCTCTCTGAATGACCTATAAAAAGCGAGTATGTCTGAAATAAACGATTCGATTCATACTGCTGAAGCTGGTGTTGTGTTCTGGACTCTAGTGGACGGGCTTGGAGGATATAGGACCAATAAGGACGCTAGACTGCTCATACTGGTTGAACGTCATTGGTTGGCATAGTGTGAAGATTTGTATAAGTCGTATTCTGATTGGTGGATAATTCGCGTGATAGAAAAGCCAGACACTAAGGTCATAACACGCACCGCTAGAGCAAACGATTCGAGTACGCGGAACGTTATTCCTGGTCTCTTGAAACCACGCTCTAAACTAAATGTAGGAGCTTCTAACGTCTGAACACTGCCAAATAGAACAACAGGCTTTCTTAGCTAGGACTTTAGAATCTCGGGTCATCGATGTATGCTGCGTCCCCGAAACGCGCATACAGGATTCGAGTAGCGTCATTCGTTTGACCTCACTGTATCAAAATAAAGAACCATCTCGATAAACGTTTCGTATATCTGGAAGCCTTGATGCTGCTTCCTGTGGCCTAGCTGGTGTAGGTGTAGTATTGTGTCCAAGGGCAGAACTAGCTCTCTTAGACTGGATCCCAGCAGACAGTCGCTTGCGCGCTCTCCGACTAGACGGAACAGTAAGGACTCGGAAAGATAGAGACAGTTGTCGTCTCTGCCTACTTTCCGACTGACGGCAACTCAGATGAGATAAAAGATGTGTTTCACAGAAAGCTTTCTGACCTCCAAAAGGTTGGGCGCTCTGGTGCAGTAATAATGGCTGGTGACTTTATTGCTCAAGTAGGTAAACTGAGAGAAAAGACACCCGGGTGGATTTTATGGCGTCGTGGCTCAAAGTACAGATAATGGCGACCGTCTGTTGCAGCTATGCTCAGATAACCGCCTCTATCCTGCAAATGCTAACTTTAAGCATAAGAAAGAACATCTTTTGACATGGCGACCCCAGAATCCGTCCCAACGCTGGACCCAACTAGACTACATCTCTATCAGTCACCGATGGTGGGGCTTGATAGAAGACTGCTTAGATTCAAATAATGCTCTAGTGAGAGCGCGTATGTCTGTGACTTACTGGACGTAGGAAAGACGCTGCAGAAAAACCTCTTAGGATTCTCTACTTAATGATAGCCAAGCTAAGAATATATTTGAGGAACAAATAGAAAAAGCTAGGCAACAATGTAAGTGATGCCCACCCCGAGGCAGCACAGAATGATACCCGAAAAGCTGTGAAAACAGCAGTGATATATGCTAGTAAGGTAAACCACTAAGTTAGAGAGAAACACCGGATCTCAGCAGCATCTACCGCACTGATAGATGCTCGAAAACTCATTCCATCTGGCTCTGAACATAATGAAGAGCGGAGTCAGCTTAAGCGCAAGCTGACAAGAAGCCTACGCAATGATCGTAAACAGTGGTGGGTAGCGAAAGCAAGACAGATGGAAAAGGCAGCGGCAATAGGTAACAGCATACAGCTGTTCACACATGTTAAGGAAACCGACTGTTAGCGAAACACTCAGAAAAAGATGGACATATTATACATCCTCAATCCAGGAGATTGGATCGATGGGCAGAACACTTTAGGGATCAGTTCAACTGACCTTTAGCCACACTTCGGTTTACCACGATCTCCAGTCACAACCTGAATGGCAAGTTAATGTAGGTCCTCCGTCTCTTTACGAAGTTGAAAAAGCCATAGGAAATCTGAAGCGAGGGAGAGCAGCAAGCCCTGACAGGTTTACTCCTGAGAGTTTTAAGGATGCTGGTTCAGTATTAGCAGTGAGATTAACTGAGGTCTAGGGTAGAATTTGGGAACTGGACGTAACCCCATCTGGCTGGTCTCAATCACTGATTGTGTCAGTTTATAAGAAAGGACAAAAGTCCTCTTGTGACAATCACACAGGAATCAGTCTGACTAATATAGTGTCTAAAATAGTAGCCTCAATAATACTTCGACGCCTAACTAAGGCTCGTGAAGAACAGGCTGGTTTCTGACTTGCACGTGGTTGTATAAACCAGATATTCACACTACGTCAGGCTCTAGAACACAGACATTCAGACGCCCCACAATCGTAGTATTTCTCGATCTTATGTCGGCATTTGACTCTTGATCGTAAACAGCGTTTGTCTCTGAAAGGAGTACCAAAGAAGTACAATAACCCTAAAAAGGTTCTACTCAAACACAACCAGCCGAGTGAGAGCTTATGGCGAACTGTCATCAGGATTGATTACATAAAGTGGTGTTTGTCAAGGCTGTCGACTCTAAATTCTTGTTTAACTTATTCGTTGACGTGCTTCTAGAGATAACACTTTCCTCATTTAAATTTCCAGGAGTTGAACTTTTACCGGGAGATTCACTTGTTGACCTAGAATATGCCGATGACAGTTCTATTTGGTGAAGACGCTGACAAAATGCAGTCTTCTGACCACTCTACGCAACAATGCAAGCATGTTCGGGATGCGATTCTCCCCCTCGAAATGCAAGATCTTGCTTCAGGATTGGGTTGCACCTAAATCTGAGCTAACCTGGGTGATTGAAATAATAAGCGTGCTTGATTACTAATTTACATAGCCACTAAATTTGGTGGGATTTTAGTCATCACATAATTTTATGCAAACGTGACAAATACTGTTAGTTAGTGATTTATACAGGTATCAAAGGACTAGACTGCATTGAGGGTGAAGGCACCAGAGAGACATTTAAACCAGATAGAATGGAATTCAGAACATTATTTTTGAGATGACTAGATTTGGATAATCCTGTAGTTTAAACTCATATAATGTTAGACGCAGCAGGTTTAATGAATGGATTACAGTGTAGCGTATACACGATAATGAGATAACTCACCACAAGTGATCGATTGAAGTTGTCAACGGCTAAAGGACGATTAAGATGTTCGTTCGCTCGATGGACGATTGGATCTCCCTTGCTCCTTAACTCGGCGAGCTTTTCTACATAAACGTGACGTTTTAAACTCTCACCGTCACCATACAACCACTCTTCTGTCATATCTAATAACTGAAGTAGTGATTCTGACTCAGCAGGTGAAGCGAACGGATTTAATGGTCCTTGAAGTTTAGACCGCATTTCATAAACATACTCCTCAACTGCATTTTTGGAATTGACTCGTTCTCGTTCCAGTTTGTCCTGTTGAATGAGATTAGCCTATTAAAGACAAAAATGAGATGTCATGCAAAATTCGCAAACATGGCATATATTTTCAGTGTATACAAATTACTATTAACCGTAAGACTCGAACACTTGTCCGGCGCTCATTTTCATTTTAGCGAACCCATTTTAAGAAAATTTTTAGGAAATACTAATATTTACTCGTTTTACTTTGATGGATGATAGAAAATCGTGATACACAACTTGTGGTTTTGTCACAAGGTTGAACTACTCACAGAGTTTGAGTAGTTTTGTAGTGATCGGGACAACACTAGAAGAATATCAATAAGAGAAATTTAGTCTGTTATAGAAGTAAAAGTTAGCCTTAAAAAGTGTTGGTGGTCCCTTAACATGTCTGAATGAGACAAATGAAGTGATGGTCAGTTGTTGCTAAGCTTAATCTATCCATCTGGGGGTCAGCTGGATAATGGTTACCACTAAAGTACAGATTCCGTATATCATCAGATTAACCACAATCACACACACTATCTAAGAATGTTTAAAACAGGGAAATAAAACCGTGGTGATGAGTCAGCACATGAAAATAAGGAGAGGGACTTAGTGCTAATATCTTTCATTGGTTGCTATTAAAAAATTTCAAATTCACTAAGTCCAATTTGGTGAGAATTATTTACATACAAATTTATACAGCCAGACAAATACTATCTGAATGCTTAAAGCTTAAACTAAGACAGCTCTTGGTAGCAGCAAACTCAATCTAGTATGAAAAAGATAGATGTTATGACTACAAAAAGCCAGATCAAACTGTAGGTTTGAAGAACATTCCAAAAATGAACGGAAATACTGTCATAAGTATATAAATTTTTAAATGCAATAACAGAAATTCAATGGTACATTTAATGAATTCTGAAAAATAACAATCCCTAAGCAAACCAAGGGTAACTAAACATATATTTTTGAGAACTTTTTTCAGAGTTTGCATTCCCAGATATTTTGAACTTTAAAGCCCCCAAATACCCTGGTACGACAGGGGGTAGGGGAAGTTCGCTCTCACATGGCCACGCGTATACAGCCACTGTCAGGGAAGTCCAACCCAATGCTTTCTCGCGGTTGGGGTGTTGTTTATAAAATTGAGAGGACGAAATGCGAATGTCCAGTGCCTTAACCTGGTTGACGGATATCAGGTGTCCACCTAGGATTGTTTGGAAACCCTTATTCCAAACAAATGGTGCACATAGGCTCCAGAATTCTGAAGGAACAAATGCCGTATGAACCAGTTTTTGGTCAATGGCTACCACGATTGCATCTCCTGACGTTGCGCTTCACTATCTTGTGGATTAGACCGTTAGGTCAAAGGCTCGGGGTGTGGCCCGCTAAGAAAACCACCTGCTCCGGTTTAGGCACACGGGCAGTATCACAGCCCACACGAATGGAATGATTTATGTGGCGCCTCCTTGTACGAATGTTTATATGTTTAATAAATAAATAAAACGAAGTGATTATCATAGTTTATACACATAAACTGCGCATTTGAAATATTTGATTTATGCTTTCGGTTAGTTATGAGCTCTTATAACAAAAAGTGAGTCAAAGCCCTGTGAATATGTCGATTTGGTTACCGATTCGCATTCTTTTACCAAGTACGCCGTGCAAGATATGAAATAGACCTTAAAAATTATTTAGCAAGTTGTGAAAAGACGAATACAAGAACCAAAGACCTATAATTTACAAGGATCTTTGTAACTTAGAACTCTCTAGTTTTACCCAGGGAGACCTAGTGATACATATGCGACAAAATTAGACGCGAGAAAACGTGTAACATACCCCAATTTCACAAAACTCATTGAGTTGTTTTGTAGTGAACTGCATATTACTAACTTCAATGCTCAAATCATGATACTTCGTGAATTTTTTCTTTTTCATTACTGTCTTCTTCTTTGGTGAAGTAGAATCTTGCATGTTTGTTTGGTTGGAATCCACCGGGGGATTCTGACTCTCAGTATCTCCATTGCTAGCTGTGGTTACTTCCTGTTTGGAGTTTGGAGGTCCATCAACTACAGGATTGTCCTCAGAAACACTAACTTCAACTTCCTTTTCATACTCTTCGATTAATTGTGCTTGTGAAATATTGAAAATACCATGGGTATTCATACGCATTTTAAGCTTGATTTTACGAGGCTCTGTGAATACTTGAGAAGCGTCTCCTATTCTGAAAGTCCCAATGACAATATTTTGGTTTGGTAAGCTATCTTTATTCGCGTACCGAGCTTCCAAAGTAAAAACACCATGTCGTAAAAGGACAATCTGACGTGAAGAAGGAATAGGATGGAGAAAAGGAAAAACTTCGATGCACATATTTTTGCCTTGTGTCGTTAATGTACCATCAATTTCTTCAGTTTGCATGCATTGTTCGCTACCTTCCTCTTGATCAAATTGTATTATAATAGGATACAGACATTGTTCAATGACAGTGAAGTCTTTTACCTTGAAAGCTGGGGAGCAGATGGCTGCCTATAATGTAAAGATTAAAACCACGTTTAAAGCACAGGACCTTCCAAAAGTCTTTAGGTTTTGATCACCTTAGATAGAGGCTAATTGGATTGTTAAATGCCTTTATTTACTGATCAAAAAAATACAGAATTTCCAAATAATACACTTCATATAGTAGGTTCTTATCAAAGTGGATTTAGGTACGACGGTCTGCTACAGAACACCACTGGTATACATACGTGGTTTATGGAGTTTTCGATGCAACAAATGAGGTATTAGCATTTCTTGTCTATTTGAGACAACAGTTAATGAGTTCAAACGCACTATACTGAGTTCAACTGCTTGATGTTTTAGGTCACATCACTACTTACATTCAGAATCAAACTAGTTAAATATCCAATAGAAAGTAAATTACAAATAAGATGGTCGATACTACATGGTGATTAAGTCACTACATACTTTTAATTACTGCCAAAATAGTCCAATTTCTCAGTTTCCTAACCTGGAAATTTGCTGACTTGGAGTATGCAGTTTTGTTTAACGGAGGTTGACAAACTGTATTCTCGAATATAAAGTGATATTAGAATAAATTACTTGGAAACAATTTGCTTCAGGTTTGGCTTGAGTTAATTATTTGAACTCATCCTCTTGCTTGGACAGTGGTTGGTGAGACCTAGGTGTGGATAAGATCTTGCCAATCTACGCTTTAATAAGCTGTTTCTAAATGATGACTTTATGCGAGTCAACAGCCCTACTAAGTTTGTTTGTATTGGTGTTCCTTCCGTAAGCAGTTATTAAGTGATAGCGTAGCATCAGTGATTGGGAATTGCTACTGAAATTGTGGATAATTTTTAAGACAAGTTTAGTAAAACTATTTTTAGATGGACCGATCGAATCACCTAAATCAGCTGGTATGTGAGGAAAGACTGGTGTTAATAATTTACGACTAACTCGAGAAGTTAGACCAGCCAGTAGAAAGCGAAAGCAAACATGAATAAATTAGACAAGTATCTGGGACCCGTAAGTCTATGCGATCAGCACAATCGTTATGAATTAACAAACAATATTGTTACAAACCAGTTTTTGCATTTTCTAAAACATTTTAGACTGTGGGATTCCTAAAACTTCGTGGTCCCAGGTACAAACTGCAAAACATGCAAATAACAAATTCAAATATGTTTGCGATGAATACTTGGAAAACCGTCATTAAATGAATTAATCATAACTATAGAACTCGTTTGAAATTACTTTGAAACAAGACATACCTGGAATGCACATCCACGAGCGACAGCTTCATCGGCATTTAAGCTAGTCTTGCCTTCTTGTTTGAAGACAGATGCGACAACGTTCTTTATCATAGGTATACGTGAACTCCCACCAATAAGTTCCACTGAGTGTACATCTTCTGTCTTCAACTTAGCCACATCAAGACATTTTGTAAACAACATTTGAAATCGCTGCAAGAGATCCGAGCACAATTCTTCGAAATCAGTCCGCTTCATCTTATTCGCTAAATCTCGGTCTTCTGCTAGGGACTCGACGTTGATTGGTAACTCTGAGGAATTAGCACTCATTGACTTCTTGAGCTTTTCACATTCCTGAAGCAACCTTATAGTCGCTTTTGATGATAGTGAACCCTGCAAAAGTGAAACAACCTAACACAAACTTACCTTTAGTTTGTACTGTTGCTGAAATTCACTAGCGAATTTGTTGAAAAGCCTTTCGTCAAAATCCCGACCACCAAGAAAAGCATCACACGTAGTTGCAAGGACTTTCATCTTGCCTGTGTTGAAACTGCAAATACCAACTTGCGTAGTACTATAACCAACACTGACAAATGCCACTATTTTCGGCTGTTGATCAGCTGGTGGTAAGTCGGTGTGGTAAAACCCGTACGCGGTACCAACTTACGAGATTAGGAATCCAAGCAGAACTTACTTGCAGTTATATCATTCACTAGCTTCACACAGTTTAATCCTGCCACTTTTGTGGCATCTAATACAGATCTTCGTTCGGCATCTGTGTAGTAAGTAGGAACATTGACAACAACATCGACCACTTTAGAACCAATAGTAGTCTCTGCAATTTCCTTAAGTTTATTCATTTGAATTGCCAAAATTTGCTCAGGGGCAAAAGGAGTTTTTTGGCCTTTCAGAAAAGCCTTGACAAACTGAAACCGCTAATGAAAAGACTTACCGAAAGTGTGATGCGACCATCACGAGTTGATTCAACTTGATGGGTTATGAACTTTCTTTCGTTCACAACTGAGGAGTCTGACAGACACTTTCCGAGCAGCCGAGTAAAGCTTGTAAAAGTATTCTGGATATTCATAACTTGTTGTAACTTGGCAGCTGTTCCCACAAGGACTAATTCCCCGGAAAAAGCAACACATGTTCTGAAAAGATCAACAACACAGTAGACTTACGGTGTAGCCCTCTCACTATACTCGTTTGTAATCACTTCGACTCCGCCACCTCTAGCGACACCAATGTAGGAAGTCAAAGAGCCAATATCGAAACCAACAACTGACACAGCCATGACACAACAAACAAGCAGGGTAAGGCAAAACAGAAGTTATCGCGCTTCGAAGTCTAGAAGGTGGTTCTATTGTGTTCTACCTAGTTAAACAAACTGTCGAATTGAGTTTTCGCGTGAACCAACATTTTTATGCAGAATTGATTCATATACCAGTATGTGTTTGAGCATGTAGCGGCAAATAAATCCCCAAATAAACAGCTCTGTAAATTTTCGACATTGAATGCTGACCACACTAGTTTTAATGGACTCACCTGGCTGAAGGCGCACGGTCATGCATCCATACCAGATCACGAGTGAGAACGCCGTGCTCAACACCCCCTGCAATCGCTAGCCAGATTAGATCAGACGATCCTCGATATATTGATAGCCTATCAAATATATCGTCGAACCTCCTCGCTTCTGTTTTTTGATTTCACTTGGTGGGTAGGATTCATATTGACGAAGGGCTGTTTTTTGAGGTCGGTTTATACTTCGTTAGAGGGGACTTTCGAATATGCAAAGGTGAGATTCCCTGGATTAGTGCCTATGAAACCAGAAAGAAGAGGTTTATCCTTTGGGCTGAACAGCGAGAGGGACTTAGAAAAACTCGCTTCGTATCGATTGAGGACATCGACTATTACTTTGAAATGTCATTCGATGATGTTGCTTAGCTTATGAACTCTAAGGACAAAATATTCAATATATGCCTCTTCAGACCTTTCTCAGTTGAACCACGTGATAAAAATCTACTAAATGCTGTGTTCGGCCGAAACATAGGAGCAACAGGACAGCGATGACAACTGTAAGCCATGTTAAAAATAGAAACATCATGTTTCTCTGCCTGTTCATGCAAATGTTGTTCCACACAGTCATCTTGCTTGTTTGTGTAGCGATAAATAAATCCCCAAAATATATAGCACTAAGTTTTCGACATTGGATGGATGCTGACCATATGTTTTAGTGGACTCATCTAGCTGAAGGCGCTAGGTCAGGCATCCGCACCAGATCACGTGTGGTAACGCCGTGCTCAACATCAACCGCAATCGCTAGCCAGATTAGATCAGAGAATTCCGATATATTGGTCATCGCCAAATATACTCTTCCGATCTCCTCGACTCTGTCTTTTGATTTCTCTTGGTGGGAACGAAATACATTAGGTGTTACTGGTAGAAGCGTTGTGAAACACTGAATACCTGTAACATCATCATTTGTTTTCGGATTGTTTAGTTAGACGATACGTGGTTACCAGTATTGTCTGATTCTTTCTAGTTCATTATGCCTTCAACTGTCGTTGCAGAACCATACAACACTCCCTATCCTCTATTCTATGCTCGGCTTCCAACTATGGTTAGAAATTTCAAATTTATCGTGTAGCGTCTCACATTGGCGACCCGTTTGAATTATTTCGTTTAGTTCATCATTTTTAGTGGTAGGATAATTGTTGGTGACTCAAGAAGATCTAGAATTATTCTAGTTACTCAACATTATTGTATTGGTGCTTGATGAACTTGAACTGTATAACCGGACATTATTTGCGTGATAAGTCTGTCTATCGTGGCTATCGCGCGAGCTTTTGGGACCCATAGACATTTAGTGTTACTCTAAGCTGTTACCTTAGTTTTATTATGTCATTGGATTTCCGGAATTCATTGATGCTTGGTGAACAGTTTGATCAAATTAAGTATAGAGTCAAATAAATCCTCAGAATCAATAGCTCTGTAAGTCTCCAACGTTTGATGCTGACAGTATTCGTTTCAATGGACTCATCTAGTTGAAGGCGCTCAGTCACGCATCCGCACAAGATCACTTATGAGTACGCCGAACCTCACATCTCCCACAACCGCTATCCAGCATAGATTGACCCCTTTTCGATAAATCTTTATTCCATCAAATATATCTTATAACCTCTTCGCTTCTTAATCATGGTTTCACTGGGTTGACACGTTTCGGATATAAAAGGTTTACTGGTTAAAGTGCTGTGGGTGACTTTGTGAATGACCTAATTTGTTGTGAACTGTGATGGGTCTGTAGTGAGGCGTCGAGTCACGGTTGACTATGACCACCACTACAGGAAGACTTCGTGCCAGTTAACCGATAAAATCCCCCGTAGGCCAAATATCGGAAGGCAATTGACGGTTGTAGTTGAGATGTATTTGTTGGCGATATCGTGGTATCGAGAGAATATCGAGATCGTGCCAGGTTACAAGTGTGGTTACTGAGCGTAACCAAATTCATGCAAGGTCACAAGCAACGGAAAAATGTATGTGTTCTAGCGCAGTTAAACAAACAAATACATTAAAACAATCCCTGGTATAACTGGTTATAATAACAATTGTTTTCACTGCACCAATCGCATTCTCTTGACAGAAGTGGGTCACTAAAGGTTCGCCACTGTCTCTATGCTGGGCAACTAATAACGACACCAATCCTGAATCTTGACTTTGTGCAGCTCATCATTCAAAGCCAAGTCCCTTTCTTTGGAAATCTCAACCGTTTTAAGGAGATAAACACGCCTAACTTTTGGTGTAAAACAAGTTTTGAGGTTTAGAGATCACTAACATTTAAAAAACCTCAAGAACGTTTCGAAATTTAATGCATCCATCTGTGTTCGAATAAACACAAAGAGTAATATTGGCTTTTGTTACATCTTTCAGTTAGATGGCATTGTCATACTGGTATCTGAACCTATTCATTGATCTCTCGATCTTCTAGGAAGGCGAGATCTATAGGGTATTACTGGTTAAACCTACTTTCTGACCTTCGTTAGTTATTCTGCTGCACTACTTTAACAAGTTAGTTGGACTGCGTGATCCATTTGGGGATCAACGGCCACACTATTATGTGGTTACCATGGAGAGCATTGTAGCCATAAAACATTGTGGTCAACCTGCCACGGTTGAATTGAGATCCAGTAAGACTGAGTCCAACTGGACAAAATCTACTATCTAATCCGTTTTTGCTCAACTGAATACTATAACAAACGTCACAACTTGTAACTACCAGACTGCTAAAATCTACTATTGCTAGTTTATTGGAAGAATTCCTTTAGTTCCTGTTTTGTTCTTGACACTTCACAACACAGATGTCACAAACAACCGCCATGAAATTATGAACCTTAACCAATAGAGTTAATTGTCATCATTCGTTTAAGTTGTTAAATGTATCAGTTTTAGATAAACTCTGACACCCAAAATTCATATAGTTGTGCCTGAGATTTCGTTATTGCTTGAAAGCTACCCAGTCTTGTCAATGACTTAGCGTTCCGTGAACGCCGTAAGTGCCGTAGTAGTGTTGGATCATAACTACAAGATTTTTAAAGCCGAGCATGTAACAATTGCAAGGATTTAAATTCAACATGTAACAATAAGATAAGGTCTAAATGGTGAATACGGGAACACTTGATTGGTTGGCATGGCTCAGCCCTGCAATTGTGGTCGTTCTGTGTAACCCACGCCTTTCCATACCAAATATTTTGTTTTATCCTGGTCGAAATGTGTTCTCCAGAAGTATTAATCATCTTATTGCCAATTATCACGATAGAAAGAGTCAGAATGGATAACGATGTAGCTTCCATGTAAGATTTTATAGGTTGAATTGTCACAATTTTGGACTTGTGTTTATTATCATTAGTGGCAAAGATAAATGTGCTAACACCAAACTGGAAAATAAATTTACGTAATAAAACCACTACTGCTGGTTACGCGACTGTAGATCCTGTTTATTCTATTCTTCAAAAACCTGTACTACTTCGGGAGCTATCGAGAGCTCAATTAGCCCTGAACACGCTGAGTTGGGGTCATAGAGCTCTAGCATACTTGAGTTTTAGTTTAGATTTTTCAGTTTTTGAGTGCTTATTGCTGATAGAAGTTTAATAAATTTCTGTGAATACTAAAGCTACTCAACAAACTGAAGTAGTTGTACTATTCAACCGTTCAAATATAACAGGACAATACAGCGCAGGCTATAACCCGAGCCCCTAATAAGTAAAGCCTACAAAACTTTCTCAACAGTCGGGATCGAATAAGAGCAATTTTCTAAGTTTGTCAATCGTATCGATGTCGGATAATCGTCTACACGTCTACTACATAACTCAATACGGCTGGATACGAGCTAAAAAGGGAGAATCTTGGGTCACGAGAGAAAAGTTTGATGCTTCTGTCCACTAGCCTCCATTCGTAGTTTTGAAGGAAGTTCATATTTGCGGTATGTACTGAAGGGTTCACAGCAATGAAAACTATCACATGGGCTTGCATAGGTTACCGTTTAAATAAATACATTGTTCGACATATGTAGCAATCTTCATTTCATTGTCAACCCGAAGACCAGTATAGACTCAAATTTCGACAACACCTTAAAAATACCTGACGAATTCGGTCTTTTGCACAGGCATCAGTAAGCTTGTGAGCCTTTGTCACTACATCGAAGATGTGTAGCCGTGGACTACATCCACCGAATGTAGTATAACTACACTGGATGCTGATACATGATATTTCAACCTAACTGTGCATGAATTCATATTTCCACTAGACGTTGAATGGCGAAGAAAGAATAATCGTTATTAATGAATGTCCGCGGTGACTGATCCTGGAGGCATGATCATTTACAGAACATTTTCCTACTCATGCTAAGCATATTATTCTGTCGATAAACTTGCGTTAATCTTTTGAGGGTTCTTGCGTATCAGAACATTTTAGCTCCATGAGAGACCGAAGGAGGGCAAACAATGTTGATGTTTCGGAGAAGAATCGTATAGATTAAATGGTCACATAATACTGCGTCAAGTGATCCAGGACAGGTTTATCAATCTAGTAACGTAAAGAAATTAATCAATAACGATCATAGTCCCGTGAAGTTGAAGTTACGAGACTTCAAAAACCACGAATTTCTGCGAAAACACAAGATTTCATATCTCGTTTACTAAGAAATCATCTCTCTGGTAATATGTCGTCCCACGATTTGGTCAAGTAATCTGTCATAGAAGGGGTTTTAAGAGGCGTTTCGGCGTTAGAAAATAAAGTTATAATGGAAAAACTTATTTAAATGCTTCTTTTTGACGACTTAAAATCATGAAAATGTACGAAAACACAATGAATGGCTTGCAACGTATTCCAAAACTACGGTTTCCAAAAGTGAAGTGCAGGGTTTGGGAACTCGACGGGTCTAGTTTCATATATGGTGGCATCAACAACATTCAGA